TCTCGTGTTGCTCAACAGCAACAGCAGCTGAAGACAGAGCAACAAGTCTGCCGTTCCACAGTGAACATCCTGCAGCATTAAAGCGCTAATTGCCAATTAAACAAAACATGGGAGACGGAGACGGACTGACGGAGGCTTCACGCGGCTGAAGGGTTAGAGTGAAAACCTTCAATCTCCAGAACCACCACCTCCTCCTCCTCTCTGGAGGCTCTGCACCACGTACACAAAACCACAGCAAACCAGCAGGAAGGCCGGAGACACACAAAAATGCTACAAGTCTAAAAGCAGCTCTTTAATCTGAGACCTCGACAGCAGCGGCCGAGGACGGACTGCAGAGACGTCACACCCAAAAAACTAAAACCTGCTTCACTGAGAGGAGCTGCATTCACGTCAACAAACCATAAACACACAAGACATTTAAACGCTGTTTGTTCTGAGAAAACAAAGAAAAATAATAATAACTACCGTTATACCTCCGACCACCTCAAAAAAATGAAATGGTAATAATAATAAAGAAAATGTAATTTAAACTAACAAAAAGATAATCAATTGTGAACATAATTGACAGTTCAGTTCTACTTCAGGTGGTAGTTTTGTCTCATCAACAGTCCAACTGAACCCGAAAATATTACTCCATTTACAACAACGTAAAAACAGAGAAAAGCAGAAAATCCTCAGATTTGCAGATTAATTTTCTGTCATCTGAGCTCATTCCTCACTTTCATGTGTGTCAAATGTGGAGAAACCAACCACAAGGCTACAAAACGGCTACGGTCACAGAGGACCGTTCGAATGCTTGAACTCTTCAGAAGTCAATATTCTAACGGTCCGTATTTTTATCACGCAGAAGGCTTGTTTCTTAAAATCTGTTTGGCGTTTCTCCGGCAGCTGCTGGCAATGAGAGTGTTTGGTGAAGACGTTCAGCACCAGAAGGAACGCCGACTTGTGATTTTGAGTAAGCAGATAACGGAGCACAAAGCAAAAGCTTGTCTCAGCCGCTGTAAGCTCCCGTTGTAGCGTTTATACAGATATAGAGATCTCTCTCTCTCTCTGTCTGTCGGCTGCAGCTCTGCTGTCGACGAGCAGCTAATGAGCTTAAAGGAAGTGAGCGAGCAGCCGGGGTGGAACCGGAGAGCAGCCGGAGGGCAGCCGGGGTGGAACAGGAGAGCAGCCGGCGAACTCTCAACACAGACTGGAACAGGCCTAAAAAAAGTCAAAGTGACCTTAAAAGATCACAAGTTCAACTGCAGACATGCTTTGGAAACACCTCTGTGTAGTAGTAGTGCCATGTCCACACTACGACGTCTCCATTTTAGGCTTATTTTGTTCTGCACGATTGTGAAGTTCACACAGAAACTGTAAAGGAACAAAAGCATAAATGTCTCCAGTACGACACACACTTCAGACACCAGCAGAGACGAGTGTTGGCCACCTTTATTGATCCATCATCTAGTAAACTTTGATTTGTGAGTGAGTGAGTGAGTGAGTGACAGACCTGCAGCGTTGTCTGAAAAATGAAACGTCTAAAACTTTCCACGAAATGCGTTCATTTGAGTTCATAGATGAAGACCTTAAGCATCAAACACAACTTTTCATTATTAAAGAATACTTTATTACTCTAAGCACCCAATCTACTTCCTGTTTACACCGGCACAGGTGTCCGTGAATAGTCACGTGATCTTTGTTTCATGCGTTTTAGTCTGGACGGAGATCATTTCACAAACGATGCTGAAACACTCGTGTGGACGGAGATCGTTTCTGTCTTAAAGGAAAGTGTGCGAGTGTGGATGGAGCCTTAGAGTAAATAATGAGTCATCGTCCTCCACCTTTCTCAAACAACGGCCTGTGGACTGAGGTGGAAAAAGAAATAAATCCAGCGGTTATCTCTCCGAGGAGAGGGAACAACACCTCTTCACATCTAAATGTACTTTACATAAAGGAGTGGTTAGTCAACTGACAACATGTTCACCGTTATCTATCATCAAAACTGTTAGAACGAGAATATCTTCAAGTTTTTGGGCTGTTGGCCAAACAAAACACCACTTTGTCTGTGATGGACATTTTACCACCATCAGTGATAATATATTGACGAAAGGATTAGTTACAGCCCTACAGCCAATGTTCTTGTTTCTTCTGCAACCAGAAGAACCCCCTTTTTAAATATGTTATTTGAGTTTAAACTGTATTCCGAGTCGGCATTTATTTTAAGAGTTTAAAACAAATGTTTAACACTTGTTAGAAACAGTTGTCGCTGACAGTTACTGAGAGCAGGAGGAGTCTTATCTTTATTTTCTCACCGTCATCTTGTGGTAGTGTGTTGCCTAAACATGTCAGGACAACATTCACTACACCAACCACAGTGACTCCTCGTGCTGCTGAAGAGGAAGGCAAGTCACAGCGTTTAAAACCAGTCTCTGCTAATAAAACTGGTTTAAACTGTTTACTGCCTCAGTTTAACCAGAACGTCAAAACCAGGTTACACACACACACACACACACACAGAGTAAACTACTAGCTAGTTCAGATAGCTGGTAGTCAGAGAAAAGTGGCTTTAGATGAAGTATAATCAAAGGAAACGTTATCTGTGCCAACATCTCCCAGAGACTAACAACTACTAGCATAGCAACGTTAGCACACAGTTAGCTCTACGCTAATATCAGCTTAGCTATCCTGGTTTTACTAAAGTCTCCACGTCACCGATGTGTCTTAACACTTCTTAATGTGCGAGTTGTGGTTCTGAACGTCATGTTCTGCAGGTTGGCTAATGTTGTTGCTAATCGTAACATGTAATTAGCAGCTAGCTTAGTCCAGGTGCACCGTCGCTTTTAGTGTGTCCCAAACCTCGCTGATAAACTGCCCGTTTTACTGAGTTACAGCTCGCTGTCGAATCACTGGCAACAAACTGAGTAACATTTCGTGCTAGACCCTAAACTGGGTCTTCTGGTGAATTCGGCTCAAACGCGTTGCACAGAAACATCTTTAACATCGGTGGTATAGAGCTGTTTGTTCTGTTACTCGAACATAACGCGGTTACAATGAGACGTGTTAAGACAAGATAATATGCAGCGACACGAGTCATAAACATGCAGGTTGTAAAAGTAAGTAAACGCCATTCGTGCATTGCATCATGCCGAATAGAAGAGAGGGTCCCGGTGATTCTGAATATGTGTTCATCATTTATCTACAGTTAAATTACTGTATTTTTGACCGGGGATTGGCGTGACGTTGGCAGCTACCAGTTAGCTGGTTTGTTCCAGCAGGAAACACCCAGGCTTCTTCTTCTTCTCCTGCAGAAACACGTCGCTAAACGTACCTCTTTCCGGTCCTGGAGACACTCCAGCACCGCCAGGTTGTTGCTCCACGAATGCTTGGGGCACAGCCGGCTCAGGTCGTCCCTGCACACCGCCTCCTCGGACAACTTCCAGCCGGTAGAGCGCCTCCTCTGCAGCGAGGCCCCGGCGACCAGGCTCCTCTCTGCGGCGGCTCCTCCCGGGATCACCGGACCTACAACGGGATGATTCGGTGCGTTATCGGCATTAACGGTGAGTTTGGCGATCACGTTGTTTTGTCCTCGAATCGGGTGCAAAGACGACAAGATGCAGAAGATCCAAAGCAGGAGAAGAAGAGGAACACGTAGACAGTCCGCCATCTTCACAGAGCACAGTCAGCCTGCTGCTGCGTTCAGGGGCGGTGGGAGAAATGGGCACTAGAAGGAAAGTTGCGGACGTTCTTTTTTCTTTTACCGTCGACAGCTCATGAATAATTCATGAGCGCGTGTGGGTTCACAGTGAGAGCCATGGTGGAAAGTAACTAAGTACATAAATATACTTTTCTACAAAACTCTTTTTTTTTCATTTAACCAAAGAAACCACAAATGTATATTTTAATAATAAAGCGTCTCAGTAGTTAGTGTTGATGGAGCTAACTACACACAATACATGTAATAATTACGGATTAAATGTACAAAGTGTCATTATAGCAATAACAAATATGTTTAAAGTGATTTACAAACTGATCTATGACATGAAAAGTGTATTTATACACAGAAACTACCCATTTGTTCTTTAATAGCAAATGTAAAGGTTCATATCAAAATGGTTCTTTGTCATTAAAATAAATAAATAGCAGCCAATATATTGTTTACCGCAGATATCATATTTTACACATATTACTGGGTGATTCCATATTTCAAAAACACAAATATTTACAATTTGTATAGTTTATTATTATTATTTATTTTATTTGTTGTGGCTCAAGGTGGGGCGGCGCCCTCGCGCCCTCTATTGACCAGCCGCCACTGCTGATATCTATCTATCAGCTGGACTAGAACGTCTTACTTACCTGTGAAATAGTATTGTACTTTATACTTTGTACTTCATACTGCCACTATAACTATTTTTAATGAATCTTTTATTTTTATTTATTAAATCACTTTTTTGACTCCTTCAAATGTTCCAAGATCCAAAGACATTCAGTTTATAATGATGTAAAATAAATTCTGATCATTTTATTCATGTCTGCTTCAGACATTTTAAAGTGAGAACGCTCGAGTAAAACAAGTTAAAACAAGCACCAGAGTAGTTTTTCTTCTGTTATTATTTAATTTATTTTTCTTTGAATTATTCTTAAATACAACTTTATTTGTATTATTCTTCGTATTGTTTATATTCTTATTATTGATCAGAAACGATAACAGAGAAGCTGTTTGATATTAATTTAAACCTGAATGTTCGTTTATTTTCTATAAACACATAATAAACACACGGCTCATAAAATGATTATGTACAGAGTAGAGGATCAATCGGACCTTTTATAAACTAGTTATCGTGATTAACTGATAATATAACTCTGGTTCCGTTGTCCTGAAGGCAGCAGTGAGTGAACTCGTCGGTCGCATTCTGCAACCTCACCACTAGATGTCACCAAATCCTTCGCACTGGCCCTTTAAATGACGTCATTTAAAAACAGAAGTACAAAAATAGCTTTTAAACTTAAACTTACTTCTTATTCTATTTCCTAAAACATCATAACTGTTTTCGTACCGTTGGTGATTCACGTTTAACATCAAACAGTCGACTTTCATTAAAAATATCTCGTCATTTTATTAACTTTGAATTCGTACACAAACAGTTACAGTTGGTAGCAAATATACATGTATACATATATACAACTTCCTTTAGAACGAATACAAGGAAAGTAAAACTGTACAACAGACAGCAGAGTCCTTTGGCACTTAATGTTCAGGTTCAGAGGGAAGTTAAGAGGAAAACACAACATGGAGATAACCGGGAGAACCTTTCATCTGCATTCTGGAATCTTTGACTAGCCGAGACGGGATTATCTCTGTTTCATGTTTTAACCCAAAAAACTACAAATCACTGACATTTTGATACATGTCAAAGTGAAGCTACCTGATCATTTTAGATCATTTTTCTGTTCGTGGTGGATTCAGGGTCGCTCAGACATCCCAAACTTCAGTTGTGTGACCGGATTAGACTCAAATCTCAAAGCATCTTTGAATGCTTCTAATTAACTTCCTGAACAAACACAAACCTTCTATCATCTATCGACCATTCAAGTCTACGGAAGCCCTGAGAGGACACACAGAAAATAAAAAGGTCAACCCTAACCCCTGATCTGAAATGATTTTACTCCATAACTTAAAAAAACTATTTCTGTTTGTCGTTGTAATACTGATTTCAGCCACAAGAGGCCGAAGTGCAACTCTTCTAACAAGTTAATGAGACTAAAAACTTCCAGGTGAGTTTTAACTGCACTCCAAACACTCGGGGCTTAAGCTGTTAGAAAGTCCTCGTAGAACTTGAAATGGTGAACTTCAGCCTCTTGTGGCCACAATGAGTATTGCAACAACAAAGAACAGGAGAAACAACAGTTCAGTCAGTAGCTGTAGTTAAACCAGTGGTAATCTATTGAACCAGTTTAAATGCTGCTGTGGTTTGTTTTTCAAAGCACACATTTAACTTAATTTCTTTATAGTTTTAAAATCGATTGAACAGACTCCATCACAGTGAACTCGTCTTCAGAAACATTTTGATTTGAGCCCAGAAGGACTCCTTTAAAAGGCAATAAAGAGCCTTTAACTTGTTTTATAAACTAGACATTTAGCAGCTTCAGCGCCCTCTGGTGGACAAACGGTGTAATAGAGACATCATGTATTAATGACCTGAAACATCTCAACGATATCCACGCTGAGGACTGTTTGTGTGGATTAGACATAAAATCAGTGCTGCCAATAAACAAATGTGTTTAAATGCAGAAATATAATCTACTCAGACCAGAGATCAGAGATTAAACTAAGAGAGAGGAGGAGGGACAGGTGGTGGAAGGAGAAGAACAGGAAGGAGAGGAGGAGAGAGAGAGGACGACAAGAGATCAGGGGGAAGAAGAGAATTTTTTTTTTGTAGACTAGAAGGTCGTAAAAGACGTGATCATTTTTCATCATGCGTTTTAAATCCAAACAGTTTGTTTATTAATGTAGAAGTTTAACTGATGATTAAAAGTTAGACTTGATGTTCACTGTGATGGATTCATTTTAACACTTTACAGAAACAAATGAAGATCAACGGCTGAGTGGAGAAGTAGGAGGAAAAAATACATCTCACTCACTCACACACACACACACACACACACACACACACACACACACACACACACACACACACACTTTTCCTCCGTCAGACTTCTTGAGCAGCTGAGATGAAGATCTGAACACTGAACTTGACCTTTGACTCGTGTAAACTTTCTGCAGGAGACACAACGTCCCAGTGTGACCAGTCATCACGACCTGGCTGCGTCTGGCTCTCTGTGCAGGTCAAAGGTCACCAGACGAGCAGTAACTTCAAATAAAAAAAGATAAAACTAAAAAGATGAAATGTTTTGTTTCCTCGGGTCGATCCGTCAGTTATCAGCTGTTTATCGTCCTTTAGCAGCTGCACAGATAAAAGTTGAGCAGCATTTTATTTTCCACACAGACGGCGTCCTCTCCTTGTGTGTGTGTGTTATTGTCTGGTCTGAGGGAGAGGAGGAGAGAGAAGAGTCCTTCCTCGTTCACTCCCACCTGTAGAGCTTCAGCATCTTCTCCGTCAGCGACGCCAGGAAGTGTTCTCCATTCACTGAGAACGGACTGATGTCCAACACAGGGAGGTCAGCAGGGAGCTTTTGGAGCAGAGAACCACTGGAGGCATCCCACACCTGGGGGGGAGAGGAGGAGGAGGAGGAAGAAGAGGAAGAGGAGGGACAGGAGGAGGAGGGAGAAGAAGAGGAAGAAAGATATTCAGCAACTCGTGTCTCTTTCAAATGAAAAAGAAACCATTAAACACATGAAATACATCATTAAATGTACTTTAAAATCACAATAAATACATTTATTTCACACTTACTTTCCATTCTTTAAACAATAAGTATATTCATATAACCCCCCCCGACTGACCATGGTGGAGTTGGACGCCTCGTCCCCGGCACAGACCAGCGTTCCTCCTCCGTCTGGACTCCTGAAGACGGCGTTCTTGGTGAGCAGCTTGCAGGACGAGCCGGCGCTGAACGTCTGGACGGGAGAGCAGGAGCAGGAGGGCAGCTGACTGGAGTCCTGCTGGGGGGTCCTGGTGAGAGCCATGAGGACGCAGCGCAGGGACGGGTTGGAGCGGCCTGGGGAGGGACAATTTTTACAATGCAGCATTTTCTTTTACCGTCTGTGTGTGTGTGTGTGTGTGTGTGTGTCTCACCTGGCCTGTAGGTGACCAGGCAGTGTCGGCTCTCCGTCTCCACCTGGATGTCGGTGCAGCCGGCTGACTCCAGCGGCAGCATGTGCGGCCTGTACGTGGTCTCGTTGACCTGCTCCCAGAAGCAGGCGCCCTCCAGGGAGCCGGCGATCACCCCGCCGCACGGGAACGGGCTGGAGGCCGCCCGCGGGACGTAGCACAGGGACGCCACAGGACACCTGCGGGGGAGACGCACGCACACATACACAAACTGTGGTTGATTGTCCTTTAAATCCACAGACGACCGATTCCTCTGGCATCATGCGATTTCTTGATTAAAAAGTATTTGAACCAGACCAGTAACATTATTAGATGCTTTCAGAAACAGGAAGTGTTAAAAATCTACATTTGAGGAAATATTTTGCAGCCAAATCAAATAGTTTACAGGACATTCAACCTTTATAATACATCTAATACTTCTGTCTTTACAGGACTCATATAAAGGTAATAAAGTAGTCCATGAATATGAGATACGAGTTTACAGATGATTACAGTGTGTGTACCTGGAGCGTAGCGGCTGCAGCTCCTGGACGTGTGTGCTGGTGTCTCTGGTGTCGTAGACGAGCACGGAGCCGTTGCTCAGACCTGCGTAGACGTAGTTGCTGTTGTCCAAACACCAGCAGCAGCTCCACACGGGTTTACCCGCGTTGTAGGTCTGAACCACCGTGTTGGTCAGCAGACTGACACACACACACACACACACACAATAATGTACCTTCAGCTAGTACTCATGTTCACTGAGCAGAGCCTGAAGGCATCATAATGTAACTGAAGTGAACCTCCGTTGGTTAGCCGTTAGCGGTGCTGCTAACGTTACTAGCTCTCCTCCTGTTGGTTAGCCGTTAGCGGTGCTGCTAACGTTACTAGCTCTCCTCCTGTTGGTTAGCCGTTAGCGGTGCTGCTAACGTTACTAGCTCTCCTCCTGTTGCTTTAAACACTGATTGGTTGTTTACAAAGAAACATGATCAGAGATCAGAGACTAGGAACACATGTTCTACTGAGTCAGTAACACTTTATTTACACTCTGATGGTTAATCATAAACTGTGTCATTGATCCGAGGGTCACACGTGTGAGGAGTCCTTTCATTACGCGACGACATCATCATGTACCTGGTCAGTTTGATGGTGTTGTCCAGAGCGGCCGACAGCAGCAGGCTGTCGTTCTGTCTGTTGAAGGACAGACCTCGGATCTGTTTGCTGTGGATGGGGACGTACTGACTCGCCTTCATGTTGACCACGCTCACCTTCTTCACACCACAACCTGGACAGAGGAGACGAGGGAGGAAAACCAGAGAGAGCGTGAGACTGAGAAGGTGGAAGAACAGCTCCGTCACGGCTGTGGACGCGTTTTAGTCTAAAAGAATCAATATCGCTCAAACTTCTTCCACTACTGTAGGAGTGTTATTAGACTGAAGTCCAGCCATGTGGCTCTGGACTGACTGGATTAAACTCGGCCTCCTTCAGTCTGCTGGCGGATCACAAACAGGAAGTAACGGCATCTCACCGGGAACCAGCGTAGCGTGAGGCGAAGGCTGCGAGGCCAGCAGGCAGCTCAGAGCTCCGCAGTAGGACAGAACCCTGGAGCCTCCGGCCTGAGACACCAGCACCGCCTTGGAGAAGCCGTACTGGGCCGTCCTGGAGCCGCCCGCCCGCTGGGACACGCCGAGGAGGAGGAGCGAGCTCGACGCAGAGGACGACGAGGAGGAGGAAGAGGAGAGCGAGCTCCTGCCGGCCTGAGCCATCAGAGTCCTCAGCTCCTACACAGACGAGAGGAAATGAGGTTTCATTCATCTGTGACTACAAGAGAGAAACACTCTGCTCCTTAAATCTACGGGTCCAGAACGTGCCGGATCTTCACCAGTTAATTATGCATTTTAAGTAAATCCCTGAAATAGAAACAGGTGGGAATAAAATGTAAAGCGACTTAAAGTTTTGATTTTAAAATGCAATAATCTATTTATAAACCGAAGACAAAGCAATGAAAATGCTAATATTAATTAATATATTAATATTATTTGATTTGTATTATTTTTGCAGCTTTTTTAACCATTAACTTACTAAAGCGTGCAATTTGTTTTGCTCCGTTTATATTGTTGCTTTCACTGATTCTCTTTTCATGTAGTGCGTTAGAAGCACTAAATAAATGTATCATTATTAGTTGTTTTAATACGGTCAAGTACACTTTAATTCTGACACAAATAAAGATGAAAGGCTGCAACATTACTTTTATATTAAGTAATGTGGTAATTCATGATTATTATTATTCGGTGTGTAAGTATTTACATTTAAAAAAAATACAAAAATATATTTTTAAAGGATTTTAAATTTGACTTTCATGTGAATTAATTAACTAATTTAATTACCGTTATGATCTAGTCAATAAAACTCCATAAACCCCTCATGTGATCCAGATGTAATGGAGGTACCTGGTCTCTTTGCTACCAATAAAGAAAATATGAACTTAATTGTTAAAAGGTCTGAAATAAATACGTTGTGTGACTTTTCAACCCACGAGGAAGAGTTGCTTTAATTACGAGAACAAACTAAAAATCAATTAAACCTAAACGTTAAAACATTCTTCAGATACCTGCAGCTCTTGTTGTGCTTGTCCGTATTTGTTGGTGACGACCTGCAGTTTCAGTTTGTACTGAGCCGACTCCAGTTCAGCCTTCCTCCTCAGAGACTGCTCCTGCTCCAGAGACCTGCGCACGCACACACAGAGAGAGAGACACAATCAATAAATCTTGCTGACAACTTGAAGGCAGCTTGTGGATGAAACATATCTGCTCACGTCGTGTTCTTTACGTGAGCAACAACAGATCAGTCGAGGTTATTAAACGTGGGGCTAGAAGCTGCTGTGACCATCGTTGGCCTCAGGGGGAAACATGACAGCGACAGTCACAGCTCACCACTAAACTGAGCTGGTTTTTAAACAACTTAACGTTTGGATCAGTGACTTTCATTCGTACATGAAGCACAAAACCTTTCCCAACATTTGAAATGGTTCAGGAGACGGCTGTTGACCTTCACATGGACTCGATGAACCTTTGCTGATATCTACGAGACTTCACTCACTTCTTTAAGCTCTCTTGCTCAGAGTTGTCGAGCGCTCTCAGCTTCGGAGCGTAGAGCAGAACGATGTCTGAACGCTTCGCCTTCTTGTTGCACTGAAGAGAAACAAACAAATATGTGACATGCAGGAAAAGACACAGTGGTGGAGGAGCTTTTCAAATACAGTAAGGTCACTGACCTGTGGACATTTAGCAGACGGGCCCTGAGCCTTCACCCAGCGCTGGATGCAGGTGAAGCCGAAGAGGTGTCCGCAGCGCAGAGCGGACAGCCGGTGCTCGCCCGCCGTCGTCCACGCCTCGAAGCATATGGAGCAGATGTCGCCTTCGCCCTCTTCCGGTTGAGACGGCTGGACGGACGCCGAGGCCACGGGAACCGGCTGGAGGCGGACGTGATTAAAGAGGTGTGAGCTACGCGGACACCAAAACACCGAAGCTACAGATTCAAAATGAGAATGAAAATGTTGGCTCTTCAGCAGGTACAGGTGAGGAGATTAAATACTAACAAGATGTTAATGTTTGCAGGCTCACAAACAGGATTTTACAACATGTTCTCCTCTGTCTTGATGCTTGTGAGGCAAACACAGACTGTTTATAAGAGGTGGACGTAGTCGTCGTGACGTCATTCGTTTGTGGACTGATGTTTTGGAGCCTCGAGTTCGGCATTTTGGCCGTCGCCATCTTGTTTTTTTTGCAACCAGTGAACAGGAAGTGACCATATTTGGACTGAGGAGGAGAGAGTGGAGTCACGTATACCTGTCTGGTAGCGACCTGTCAATCACTGTGTAGCCCCGCCCTAAAGCATCCCCTGCTTTATGGTCTGTTTGACTCTAAATGGACCATAATGTACTAAATGAACATCATGCTGTATTGAAGAAGACTTGAAACTAGAGATTGAGACCATAAACTCATGTTTACAATGTTTACTGAGGTAATAAATCAAGAGAGAAGTAGAGTCATTTTCTCATAGACTTCTATGCAACCAGAGGAGTCGCCCCCTGGTGGACATTAGAGAGAATACAGCTTTAACACATGAAGCTTTGACTTCACTTTTCAGTGAGTGTTGGAAGAGGTGTGAACATTACCTGGACGTTCTGGTTTTGAGATTCTTTCCTCTCGCCATCTGCAGCTGTTCTGGAGTCTGAACACAGATGAAATTAAAAAAAGAAAACCGGACTCTCAGAACACAACAGAGAGACTGTTAAACCAGTGAGCACCGTAAAGTGAACGCCGGTCAGACTCACTGGTCGGGCCGGCCTCCTGTGGTCGTGTGTGTTGGACGGAGGCGTTGAGTCGAGGACCAGCAGGCGGCGTCAGGTCGACAGGCCCCGGAGCGGCAGGCGGGCCTTCTTCACGCCCAACCTCCTCATCCTCATCGTCAGAATCGCTGACCTCGGTGGTGCTGCCAGACTCTGGCTCGGCCACGCTGGCAGCCGGCGCCCGGAGCAGGAAGTCTGGAAATCCTCTGGAGGGCGCTGCAGTCTGGCTGGGGTAGTGCACCCTGAGGCCGTGTCTGCAGGAGCGCGCACACGCACGCACGCACACGCACACGCACACACACACACACACACACACACACCATCTCAGGAGGACACGGAACAGCTGCTGAGAAGAGACCCGAGGAACTGAAGTGTGTTTACATCATGATGCTTGAGTCCTTGAATAAAGCCTTCTTTGTGCATTGGTTCTGGGTACCTGAGTCTCCTCCGTATGGGCGCCCCCTGAGCAGCTGAATGTGCGGCTGCAGAGCCGCCCACGGCTCTCTGACTGAACGCCCAGGTGGCAGGAAGCCTGGGCGGCGCACGAGCTGCCGTCCGTCGCCCTTCATTGTCTTCGTCATCGTCCTCGTCCACCTCGGTGCTGCTGCCGGAGTCTGAGATGACGTGTGGCTCGTTGGCAACCGCTGCTGCTGCTGCAGCATTAACCGCACGCTGTCTGCTGCTGCCTCCTCCTCCTCCTCCTCCTCTCTGCACCTCTCCTGGGGAGTCCACCTCCATCGCCTCCATCTGCACGTCAGAACAGTGGAAAAAGACACAGGTCTGATGGTTTCAATTCAATTCAAAACACAAAAAAATGATTCTGTCTGTATATATAATATTTTAGTTATTGTGGATTTTTTACTTTTTTAATATTCTTTACTGTTTATTACTTATTTGAACATATTTTTACAGACTGGCTTTTATGTGATGTCGTCGCTTTTCTGTTTTATTTTTATTTGTTGATTTTCCAAAATTATTTTACGAAATATATATATATATTTTTTAATCTTATTTTTATCATATTGACTGTCTCACTGATATTTGTTATTATTATTGTCTTGTTTTTGCTACTTTGTCTATCAAAGCACTTTGTAAACTGTTTTTAAAGGTGCTCTATAAATAAAGTTATTATTATTATTATTATTAATAATCTGTATGTTGTGCTAATTAGCCAGCTAACCGAAGTACAGACGCCTCTGACTGTCAACTGTCCAATAAATTACCGTTTAAGTGTAATTATCTACCCGTTGTATGCGAGGGCTAATACTTGACGTTGTGATGCCTTTTGCGGCTAAGCGCCGCACTAGAGACCGGGGTCTCCTCCGGGGCCTCCAAGTAAAAACAGAAGCGGACAGCAGCTACTTCTACTCAATTCATACTTTAATGAACTTTACTTGATTAAGCTTCTTTGTCGCGCACATTAGCAACGTTATAGAACAACACAGACATATTAATAATAATAATAATAATCCGATTCTCTCCGTTCTGGTGCCCTGGGTAACCACGGACGCTTGAGCTAACTTAGTTTAGCGTTTGTGTGGTTGTGAAGCTGTTTTTAATACCTTAAATTAGACATATATTAAAGTCGATACATGACTATATAGCTATATAAAATGTGGTGTTTTCATTGAAAATACGCGTAACAAAACGGGTCCGCTTGGTGTTTTAGCGCGGCTAGCTAGTTAGCTGGTTAGCTAGCTCCTCGGACTGTAGCAGCAGCTGCGGAGAGAAGCAGACACTCCTCGTTACCTGTATGGAAGTGAAGGTTTAACAGCTGCCGATCCAGCTCTGGAAGACCACGCAGAGTAATAACATGACTCCACGGACACAAGACACAAATCAAAGGGAGGGTAAATGCAGTCAGGACCCGCGGTCAGGGATCGAATCTCCCGGCGCGTAAGAACCGCTCCGCCCGCCCCATCCTGCCGCGACGTCACCGCCGAAGATCGTATGTTGGGAAGATGACTCACTCCCAATTCTACTGGAACGGTTGCGGAAGCAGTAAATTGGAAAATTGCATACAAATAAAGTTTAATTTGAAACATTTATGAATTAAATTATCATCCTCTCAGTGCCACCTGTTGTTTTCCTCGAGATTACGCATTCATTTACTTGTGATCTCGAGATAATGGCGTTAAAATGTTTATAGAATGGCCATTCTCGGCTTCCGTAATAAAGTACTCAAATATTTTACTTTAATAAAAACAAAAACTATGGAAGCCCATTTCCGTCACAAAAAAAACAAACCTCAGTAAAAGCACAAAAGTATTAGCATTAAAATGTACCAAAAGTAGAAGTACTTATGTAGAATGTCCCATTTCAGAATAATATCTAATTATTGGTGCATTAATTTGTTCCTGACTTTAAGCTTGGGAACTCTTAACCTGTAATAATAAATAATAATTTATTTGTTGATTATATTTTGTATTTTTATCGGAATCTGCAAAGTAACTAAAGTTATTAAATAAAATATAGCAAAGTAAAAAGTACAATATTTTCCTCTGACTAGTGGAGTTGAAGAAAATTTAAACGCTCAAGTAAAGTATAAGTATCTTAAAATTGTACTTTCCATCACTGATTATGAAATTAGAGTGACAAATCTGAATTATTTAAATTTTTTTGGTTCATTGTACTTTAACACAAATTAACCCTCAAATCAAACAGTGGCTTTTCTCATCTGCTTCCTGGTTTTGTGCATCATCTGCAGATATTCCATTTGAGATCATTCTGCTATCCAACGTAAGCTATTACGTTGAGTATGTGAAGCAGTGTTCCTGTGTATGGGTTTTGTGCTTTTATTGTGAAGGAGGAGACGGAAGGAGAGAGAGAGGAAAGAGGTTCTGAAGTAGAGTGTGAGAAGGAATAAAGTGGCTGCCATCTTGGCCCTGAATACGGAGCCCCGTGGTTATTGTTTTATTATTATCCTAAAGTATAGGCGCAACATAAACCCTCGGCTACACTAATATTACTTCATTTGACCATCGGTCACAATTGGAAATAAAACTGCAAAAAGAAGTACTCAATTTAGCGAACATACACACACTTGAATTTAAATAAGGGCATGAAGATGTGAAAATGTTTGTAATATTATGAGATTAATGATCACCCTGGATTTTAAGAGTGTATTGGAAAGAGTAAAAAGAAGACAAGCAATGGAGTTTTTTCTGGTTTGTTTATTGATTTTATTCGGCATATTTCAACGTTTAAGCAGCCATGTTGAATCAAACATCGCTTTTATTTGCAGAGAGGATTTGTGCTCATGCGGTCATGGATTTAATTACTGAACGGGACCTATCGGGCACAGGGGCCCCCTGACCTACACCTACAAAATGTCATTAATAAGATGCATACCAACCAAGAAGAGATTAAAAATGACCCCAAAGAAATATAAAACAACTACAAAGAGACACAAAACAGCAACAAAAAGAGGCTAAACAACTATAAATTCTTTGTCTTACTCATGTAGGAGAGGCGTTGGGGCCTTTCGCATGTCTGCGTCCAGGGGCCCATAGAGAGGCAAAGTCACACCCTTCAGGTGGATGACAATGGGACTTTATTTTACAAAAGTAAGTAGAGTCATTTTCTCATAGACTTCTATACAACCAGAGGAGTCGCCCCCTGATGGACACTTGAGAGAATGCAGCTTTAACACATGAAGCTTTGACATCACTTTTCAGAACCGGAGGTTGTCGCCTGCTCTCACTCATTCTTTCTCTTCCCGGGCGATATAAAGAGTCGGTGCAAGATAATGTTACGTTTGTGCGTGGAACACATAGCTAAGTTAGCTAGCTAGCAAGCCAAGCTAACGGCCATGTTGGTGACGTACATTGTGCGAGACAAGAGGTAAGTAGTAAACTGAGCGGTTTCACGGTACTACGACAAATCTATGATAAACTGAGTCTTTCTTGACTTTCAAAATGATCTTTTAAAATGACAAACAATATCTGTGTAATTCACGACTCAATTCAGACGAGAAAAAAAAATCGTCTTTCGCCATTGACTAGCAGGTATGTGCTTCTCATGAATGAACAGAGTGTTTAGTGAGTGCCTGTTGTCGTGTGGTTGATAAGTGCTGTAAAATAAAGTAGCACCGCTGAGATCACAGTATCATCTGTTATCCTGAAATTACTACCAGCTCTAAAAAAAGTAATAAAACCTCAGGAGGAGCTTTGGCCTTGCAATAATTTCTTAAAAAACATTTAAAGTTAGAATGCAGGTTATTTTTATCCAAGAGTCACAGTGAACTTAATTAAATGAAAAAACAAAAGTATGGCTTTTAGTGTAAACTTTCCGTGTGGATTATAAAGAAGTTACGGGCCAGTTTTATGACTCTTCTCCTGAGGATGCCCGTGACCAGAAGCCCTGAGTGCTGCTGACGAAGAGGCAGAGCGATGAAGAGGCTCACAGCTTCTCTAACTGTGCCACCACGCTTTGCAGTTTATCCACCAGCTCTGCAGAAGAGAAAGACAGACATTTCTGTGTTAATTTTAAAGTACATTATTTAGAATTTGCCGCAATATTGAAATAATGTAAATATTTTTTTTATTTTTTATTTATGAATTAATAACAGTTTTGTGTGTGTTGTGGTTTTGCCCATTTTAAACCCCCCTGTCGTATATTGTACACCTATTTAATAATATATGCAAAGATCTTTACAAAAATAGATAGTTTCTTTGTATTTTCATATGAAAATCCAATCATCTTCCTGTAAAACAAAATTTGATGTGTGTTTACAAACCAATTTTAACCGATAATATCATGACATCCATCAAACTTTTAGCGACAAGGGGGGGATGGAGCCACAGTCCACTGTAGCCTACTGCCGCCCCCCCGCTGGAGGATCTGGGTCAGTCCACGGTGAACCGGTCTCTGCTGGAGGATCTGGGTCTCTCCACGAGCATTAAGAATAACTCTATAGAAACAGACCATCTTCTCTCTGATGGTCTCTTTACTGATGGAGGTCTGATAGAGGATCAGGACTACACTGAGACTGTTTCAGGACCGGTTAGAGGTTCCATGGAGTAACATAACTATAGAATCTTTGTAGAACCGAGTATTTTACCTCACAAAGTCTTGATCTAATAATAAACAGTCTTTCAGAATGTTAAAGGAACTTTAGAACGTTTTTTATCCCCATAAACACCAACCGTCCACTTAAAGACCTTCAAATGATCCACTGAATCCTGTTCACTCATTTGTAAGCAGATACAGTATCTAAATGTGCCTGAAGGTAACAGTGTGTGTGATTGAAGGTTACCTCCAGCAGATGGTCTCTGGAAGCCATCATAGGCCCGACACTCGTCGATCACATCCACCAGTCCTTTGGGACAGTCCCCCCGGTTGGGGAGCTCCTCTTTAAATTTCCCTTTGCACACTTTCTCCAAGATGTCCTTGTCTGACCAACCTGGAAAAAGTGAGAAAAGAGTGAAGAACAGAAGTTGAAGCCAAAGATTATATAGTTTATCTTATCCTTCATACTCCATCATCTTGTGTGACTGTAGGGACGGCAGTGTCGGTCCGTCTGTCCACCATTTTGGACCAGAGTGAAATATCTCACCAACTGTTGGGTGGATTGCCATTTTGTGCATTCATGCTCCCCAGAGGATGAATGCTAATAACTTTGGAGACCCCAAAGTTATTAGCTGGTCCATTGTCCCTTCTGGTGTCAGCACGAGGTTCATATTTACAGTGTTTTAAGTTAAATGTCTCGACAAACTTAGTTAATGGATCGTCGTCATATTTGGGACACACGTTCCGGTTCCCCTGAAGATGAACTGTAATAACTTTGAATTTCTACCTAGTGCTATTACTTTAAAAGTACAACTGCCCCGCTGGTCCATTGTCTCTGTAAAGCTCAGACTTACATCGTTAAATAAAATGTAAAATAAATAAAGCAAACAAAAGGAGTTGTAGCATCAAAGAAAGACTCCCTCTTCATCTTTGGTTTTAGCTCTTGTAAGGTCACAACATCCCTTCTGTTAAAAGGTGTAACTGGAAATATCTACCCAACAACAGAGAGGCCCCTATCTATTCACACAGCAGTAAAAGCAAATATTCACGCCTTCAAGTCGAGTCTGAAGCCTCGAGTCTCAAAATATTTGTGTTTTCCCCCCAAAAAGCTTTAATCCCGGCAGAACACGCTTAGCTTGTCGCAAAATGTTTTAAAATCCTGGATTAGATGCTCTGATCATGCTGTATCTACGAAACACATACATGTAACTTAAACATAAAACATACTCTTACGCCTATAACTATGGCACTATTAATCATGCACCTAACCATGGGGAGCAACCATAGCGTCCCTTTTTTTTCACAGATAGCTGTCAAACCAAAAGAAGTTGAGTCCTTCATGCTAAAAACAATAGGTTAAGTGTTGGACGTTGTTGTTCTGCAGATATGCACCATCAAAAGGTCTGCTGCCGCTTGCAACCTCCCACAGGACGATTCCAAAGCTGAAAGACAAACATCTCCAAGTTAGTGAGAAACATTCATTCTATTTTATTAAAGAAAACATGCTTTTCAATTCCGCCGATGGGTTTAGGGGTTCAGAGGGTTGATAAGGCTGTTAGTAACAACTCATAAGCCCTTATTAATGCTTTTAATAAAGCTGTTAGTAACAACTTATAAGCCCTTAATAAAATAGTAACAACTCATGAATCCTAATTAAAGTCGTTATTAATCATTCATGAACCTGTAATAACAGGTGATTTAATAGAAAGTAGTCCCCACATAATTGAACACCATTTAAAAACCTTGCTGTGTAGGTTTTGAGCAGTACTGAGAACAGATTTGTTTATAGCATAGAGGAAAGAGCATAGAGGCTTTTAATACTCAACGCGCTGCTTTATTCTCTGAAACGTCAGAGGGCGTACAAACAAAATAAATGATGGAGAATCAAAAAGACGAGTGTAACTCAGAGATATGCACATAGACTGTAGGTGTAACCGAAAAAAACATCATAAACCAACCTCCACAATGACGAGGAGGGATTGTAATTAACTGTAAACTCATATTCACGGACTACTTTATTGCCTTTTTACAAACCCTGTAAAGAAACACGTCATGTATTAAAAGCATTATAAGGAAACAAAGGTTGAATATCCTGTAGACTATTTTATTTGGCTGCAAAATATTTACTTAAATGTAAATATAAGTAATGCTTTTAAATGTTCCGTTTAAAAGCATTTAAAAGCAAATTGACCTTCTTTGTAAAATCCCGAGACATGTGAATAGTGTTTTTATCAGTGAACTATCTGTGACAGTCACGCGATCGCGCGCGATAGTCACAAAAATTCAGAGGTGCACGACCGAGCACCACAACCACTTGCGCACCACGCGACGGCCGTGATTACGTCATTTTCGCGCCGGTTTCCTTCACCACGGCGACTGTAAACTAGGCTCAGCTCCTGGTTGGTATCTGACCTGTAGATCTCACACTCTTTGCTGTAGATGTGGTTGATGTCGTGGAGCATCTCTGGAGAGGAGTAGCACAGGGACCTGATCGCTTTGTCCTTCGTTGGCCTTCTCAGCGACGTCTCAGTTTTTGCCAGCTCAAAGCCTCCCAGCTAATAACAACAACAACAACAACAAATCAAGACTTCATTCAATCCCCCCCAACGCCTTAAATACCTCCAACCAGTGGGCTTTCAGCAATCCCAGCATGCACTGGCTTCAGTACCTTAACTGTGTAGCCTTCAGCCACCAGGAACTTGTTGCTGTTGATGCATCCGTGAACCTTTGATTTTTCTTCAGTCTGGTGAAGTCTACGAGAAAACAGAGATCAAGATCATGACGGTACCTTCTATCGTAAACAATAAACCACACAGATAGAACTTAGATGGCACATGCACACAATGCAGGAAAGTAACTAAGTACATTCAATCAAGTATTGTAACTTAAGTACAATTTGAGGTACTTTATACTTCTACTCCCCTACATTTCATTGAAACATTGCACTTCTTACTCCGCTAGCTATTTAATAGCTATATTTTCTTTGCAGATTCAGATTTCTACTAAAGAAAATGATTAAATTATGATGTATTATTATGGATTAAGCCACCCAGCAGCATATAAAGTCATTAGAAATGGCTCCACTTTTATCAGCTGCAACATTGAAGTGATGAATCTAAATTTATTAACATATATAATCAAGTAATATTCGGTAAATCCAGTATATTTTCATGCTGATACTTTTGCACTTTTACTCAAGTAAATGTACACACTGTGGTATTGCTATTTTTTTTAAAGATTTGAATACTTCTTCCACCACCGGTCATAATTACATTTTTATCAAGGAAAATGTGTGTGTATCAGTGGCAATGAACACATGAGAATTTATTCTTTTTTTACATTTGAAATTAACTTCTTTTTAGAAATGTTAGTATAATGCTAATACTTTTAAAACTCAAGTAAGATTTTAAATGCAGGATTATTTTCTAGATTAATTGATTCATCGTTTGGTCTATAAACATCAGAAAATAGTGAAAAATATCCATCCCAGTTTCTAAAAGGCTGAAACCCAAACATATTCAGTTTAATATACTATTTAAAAACACAGGAGATCTCCATATTTAAGTTAAGTTATATTTGAGAGGCTGAGAAACAGCTTTTTCTGCCATTGTTGCATAAAAAAGATTGCTCAAAAATTAATATAAAGTAGAAGTTGGCGATTATTTTTCTGTCAATTGACCAATCGTTGCAGCTCTATCTGACTTGAAAGAGAGTATTTTCACACTGTGGTATTACTAGTTTTACTCCTGCCTAAATTTCTTAGTACGTCTTCCACAACTGCATGCCCAAAACAACAGCGATCCTCTTTCAGTGTTGCAGGCAAAATGTAATTCTACTTTTTTAATCCCGCCATCAGAAATATATGTCATCGTAGAAGACTGACCGGTAGAGTCCTCGCGCTGCGTCCCGACACATCCGAGCTTTCGTGTGCCAAGACAGACTGCTACCTTCAGAGACCAGAACCTGGAGGAGACTTCCCTTCTCACAGTACTCCATGATGATGAGGAACTGAGGCCTGGGTCCTAGAAACGGTGATAAAAACACGTCACATTAATGTTATTATAAAGGTGCCATGTGCCTGATACTCTTTGAAGTCCTTTACATTCTACAGTTCACTCACCGTCCTCATCCTGGAGACAGATGCCAAACATTCGCAGGATGTTGGGCGATTCAAACCGCTTCATGGTGTCAACCTCCTTCTTGAAAACCTTCTGCAATTCACTGAAGACAATGTTGAGAAAGAATATTTGACAGTTACAGTACGTCACATGATAATACACAAGGCTGTGTGTGAACACGAAGACTGAGCGGTCGCTGTCATGAAAATCTGCAGATGTGAAGTCAATATATCCACAGCGACATTTGGGGTTTTACAGTATACGTTTTATTTAGATCATGTTCAAATCCCATTATTAACATTTAAGTTCTTCATGGCCTAAAGCTAATCAACGCATCCTTGTAAACCATAAAGCTGCCTTGAAAATGACATTGGTTTGAGAAAAGTGCAGAGATAATTATGGGGCTCCATGTTGACTAAAAGCCAAATGTGTCTCAAAATCAGAACTGCATCTTGGATGGAGAAGGTCTTTTTTTTAACTTGAGTGGCAAAGGGTCGAGCTAAGAGCGAAAATAAGTTGTTCATACGAGTCAGGCCCCGTCTACACGTGTACAGATATTTTCTGCTAGATTTGAAAATATTCTGAACCACACCACCCGCGTTTTACAGAATAACTCCGTCCACACTAGAGAACGTCAAATACGTCAAATGTCAAACACGTCAAACACATCAAACGTCACTCAAAAACCAGAGAAGAAGATTCTGAGCATGCTCAAGTCATGTCCATTTTGTAGCCCAGGGATCTTTAAAAAGGGAAAAAAACATGACAGATAAGAATGATTCAGTATTGTCCTGAAATGTGTCACAGACCTCGGGGTGGTGTTCAAAGGGTCAGTGTATCTCTTGACGGCCACCGTGAATCCGTGGTACCGTCCTTTGTAGACCTCTGAGGTTGACGTTGTCATGAAGGGTGTTTTGGGCTGTTCGTAGTTCAGCTCGCGTGGTTTGATCATTCGGATGTCTTCATAAGGGACGCTGGGATTATTCACTATGGAAACACATGTTCACAAGTTAGTTTATGTTTGATTATATTAAATGCTTCCCAATTACAGATATCTGACTATGTTCATTAAATCCACAATAACCAAACATTTTTTTTTTGTGTTGCCTAAACCTATTGTTGGTTTTGTTGCCTCAATGTAACTGTTGGTTTAATAGAAAAAACAACGTGCTGAATAAGGGACACGAAAAAAAAAAAACGGACAATTTGTGTCTCTGTACATAAAAGCAGTAGACAAAGCACTTCGTGTCTGTTTCAAGAACTGGCGTGAGACTAAGTTGATATGGTGAACCTGAACTTATTTCCCCATCCAGCAGTTACAGAGCAACATGAACGTTCCTGTGGAGTTGTGTTTGTGTCCACCTGATGAATGCATTCGTAGTGTATGTTGAAGTGGTTTTGGTTTACTCACAGATTTTATTCACGTTGATATTGAGGATTTCCATTTCTTTCTGCATGGCATCCGTTTTCTTCTGCTGCTCCTCCAAGTATTGCACGAGCACTGAGGAGCAAACAGAAAATAGGCCCAACAGCAGGCCATCTCTTGAGTAGTTTGGCCTATTGGCAACATTTTACATTTTTCTCCATCTGGCTTTTCGTAATACAAAAGTGACTGAAAACCTTGTAGGTTAACATCAGCTGTTGTTTAAGGTGATTAAAACCCAAACATAAATTGATAAAGTGCTATATTATCAGTGCACAGTAACTGCTTTGAGTTGTCCGATGAGGTGAACGTTTGCAGGACGTAAACAAGTGTTTAAAAAGATTCGAGAGTCCTTGAAAAAGGTCCCGCATTGGAAAGGGAACTTAAGCCATAACACATTTTTTTGTGTTTTTAACCATCTGAAAAGAACATCAATTATCCTGATGCACCTGATGTAAATTCATAAGATACATTTTTTAAAACTACAAGATCAAATTTAAGCTCATGTGGATTGACTGAGCTGATTCTGATCGTCTTCCCTCAACAAACTCTACAAAGGCAAAGTCGACATCAGTTCTGCTCACGTGTCTTCAGCTCGGCGTCGTCCTCCTTCCTGTCCACCTCGTCTTCTTTTTGTCTGGAGGTCAGCTCGAAGACCTGGTGCAGCACATTGCTGTGCTCCACCTGCAGAGCTCCAGACAGAACCTGGAAGGCGTCATTGAGGCGATTGTTCACACTGTTGAACTCTTCTTCGTGGCTGCCGGCCTTCAGGATGCGATTCACCCAGGTGACCAGAGTGTATTTCTCGATGAGCGCCTGTGCCGATTCCAGAGTGAAGAAGAGTTCATTGAGGGCTTTTTCTATGTCGGCAGTGGTTTGTCCCTGCTCCCTCTTTTTGATGGACCTCACCAGCTCGTCCAGGGCTTTGACTCGGCGACAAACACGCTGGCTGGACTTCTTATTGGCCTTCACCTTCTCAACCAGGGCGTAGATCTCTGAGGCAATGGACAGGATGGGGTCAATGAAGTCCATGTTCAACTGGAGAGAATGAAAATGGAATAAATCAGAGCTGAAAGCAAATCAGATCAAGTTTAAGATGGTAAATGGTAATGGTAAACACCCATTGATACACTGATAACAGGGGCTACTGTGCAAAGTACCACCTGCCCATCAGGACACACCCAATCACACACCGATGGCACAGTCTTCGGGAGACATTTGGGGTTCAGTGTCTTGCCCAAGGACACATTGACATAGCGGATTGAACCGCCGATCCTCTGATTTAGGGACGACCTTAAATCGTCCAAAAAAAGGCATCCCCTGCTTTATGGTCTGTTTGACTCTAAATGGACCATAATTTATTAAATGAACATCATGCTGTATTGAAGAAGACTTGAAACTAGAGATTGAGACCATAAACTTTACGATGTTTACTGAGGTAAACTGAGGTTTCTCATAGACTTCTATGCAACCAGAGGAGTCGCCCCGCGGATATTTCCGTCTGGACCAACAGATAAACTGTTGCCGTCCTGAGAGCCATGCAGCTAACATGGCTAATAAGAATAACACTACATATTAGTCAAACAAATCTCTGAAATGATCAAATGTGGCCTTTTCTCTGTTTCTTTGGTTGTTTTTTAATCCCTTTGGTTTTACCACTGGATACTTTTACTTTTATTTAAAGTGGTTTCACTGAGCAACAGCTGATTTATCTGTGTGTGAAGCAAACTGCTTGATTAAATATATTCCCCCCCCCCCCCCCATATATAATAACTCTTCTGCAGCTCCTCAGACTGAGAGTTCGTATTGATTTCTTGTTTGCCTGCAAATCCTCAGCTGCTCAGACTCAAATACAGAAGATTTCTAATGTATTAGTTTGGCAGGTAAATACTTGTTCTTTTGTCCTCTCTCCCCTCTGTGCATTGATCTGTATGAGCAGGTAAACTCTCACCTGACAAAGCTTCCTCTCCTCAGACACTCAGAGAGGGAGTCACTGCTCTCTGTTGCCCTGCAGGGAATAACTTGTCTTTGTGTTGGACAGTTTTCAACACGTTGACAACGCATACCAGCAACACATTAAAAGCTCGTTGTACTTCTGTACAGACTGTACAGAAATGGATCTATACTAAGCTGCTCACAGAGCCAATAACGAGTGGACACATCAGGAGGTGTCATCCGAGACGTTTACTATCCAGATGATTTAAAAAAACACAAAGATTATTTACCTGCAATGAAAAGCCTCTCCTCTCAGGTAGTTCTTGTGTGTTTGTGTGTTGAAAATGAAACTGCAGCCCACAGCTCCTCCCTCTGCAGCTCACTACTTCCTGTTTCCTCTGTGACATTTGCAGTTGCCCCTTGAGCTTTTTCCTGACACACCCATGAGTGTTTATTTACTTCACCACTGAAGAAGAAGAACTCACTGCAGCCAAGATGAAACCTGACAAACCTGTTATGTTGATGATTGATCAGTCACACTTGCTGAGATTATGTAATTTTTAGTAACAAGACTAAAAGATGCCCTGTCATGGAAATCCATGAATAGACCAAGCAAGAACAGTTGGGTTGATGGATTGTTGCATTGTCTTTATGTATAGGAAAAAGGAAAAACAACACTTTTGTTAACATTTGGGGCTCATTCATGGACCTTCTGGAGGGGGACGATTGTGCCACGGCTCCTTGTGCCTCCTCTGTGTTCATCCACAAAGTTGTAATTTAAGTACCGTGTCAGCAAAATAAAGCAGCAAAACGTGCCTTACTTCCATTAAATCCCATGTAATGTATGTATAGTGTGTTTTGTTTAGGTGTTCCTTTATGTGCAATGTGAAGTGCATGTTTTTATATATTATATTATGTGAGAAAATTCAATAAACATAAATTTGTCAAAAAACAAAACAAGACAAAGATGAAGACAGTTCATCTTTTCACAGAGCCTTGTCACTGTTACCACTAATACCACACTGTGAAAATGATCCACTATAGTAAACGTTCTGCATACAAATAAGCATTATCAGCTAAATGTTCTGAAAGTAAAAGTATTGAGAGTAAAGTAAAATGTTCCTGTCAGTGTTTTACAATTATATAGGATGTTTCTGGATCAAAATCAACCTCATTCAACGGTTCGTATGTTATCTTACAAAAAAGTAACGTCACAATAATCATGCAAGTACAGCAACACGTGTCGATTTACGCTGGTTACATGAATACAGACTTTTCAAAAATCCTTTTAGGCCACAGAACTACTTAGTCAGGTTCAGGAAATGATTGTCGTTTGGGTTAAAATAACTATTAAAATACGGAAGTGAAGCAACAAATAAATCAATGTTGACTTCTCGTTTCACAAGAGGAACAAACGGTTTCCTGGAGGAGAGACTGTGTTTTGTTTGACCCAGTGACCTCCCTGCTGCTCTGTGTGGGTTCTTTTGTGGTCTTTATACTTCCTGGTTCATGATTAAGTAGATAACATACAGATTCATTTTGTGGGACATCTTATAATTACAGTGCATGTATTTTTCGTATAGCTATGAACGCTGAATGAGAATAGCCTGTACTGCTGCATTAATGTGTATGTTGCATTTTAACTCCTTTATATCCTGTCGGCTTCGTTAATCTACATCAAAACATCACATGTTTGTAGCGTCGCTTATATGGGGTTAAAGCTGCAGTCGGTAGCTTTAATATAAATAACTTTTTGTCATATTTTCTCAAACTGTCACTACATCCTAACATCAGTCCATAGATGAGATATCCTGTGAAATAAATCAGGTTCGTCTGCCTCCTTTTGGTGCTCCGAGATTTAATCCCACCTGAAGCAAAACAACCAATCAGAGCCGAGGATTTGTCTAACGCAGCTGTCAATCACCGAATCTCGGATCGAACTGTCAAACTGGGCAGCGCTGATCAAATATGAATCTAGATTCTGTTACTGCGTTTTCTATTTCCCATTTTACAGCTAAACATGAACTAAAATATGTTTCTGAAAACATTTTGGGAGAGAAATAGTTAATGCAGCAGCAGAATCTAGATTCATATTTGATCAGCGCTGCCCAGTTTAACAGTTAGATCAGTTCAGAGCAGGCGGCAAACTCCAGTTCTGCCGAGCAAAGTCAAAGCTTCATGTCTAAAAACTTGCATTCTCTCTAATGTCCAGTTTAACTCTTAAAAGTTTATGGTCTCAATCTCTGGTTTCAAGTCTTCTTCAATACAGCATGATGTTCATTTAGTACATTATGGTCCATTTAGAGTCAAACAGACCATAAAGCAGGGGATGCTTTAGGGGCGGGGCTACACGGTGATTGACAGGCTGAAAGTTGTCTGTGTATCGGTCTTACAACTTTAACACTTTTACAGTGTGTTTTCAGTTCATAAAGGTTAATTACAACATTTTGGTCACCTGAAAATGTCATTCTTCCAAAAAACAAGATGGCAACAGCCAATCGACAAGGTTCATTAACTTTACAGCCAGGTTCAGTAATAAGCTTAAATTATATACATAAACGTCCATATCGAGTTTAAGATACTGTTAATAAACTTTCAATTCCTTTATATTATATTGACAATAATCCCCTCAGGATTTAGTGGACAACGGTGGTTGTGTTTGTTTTGGTGCTCTAGACAGAAAATAGGGTTAAACATATATGCAAATAGAAAAATTGAATAAATAAAACGAAATTACCCACATTATTATATTATGAAAAGAGTGCATATTTCTTTTTAGTCCTGAATCTATTCTGAGTTGTGTGCGTGTGGCCTCAAGAGCTGACCAGACAGTGGATCACTTAAGTTCACTTTAACTTATAACTGGTGTGAACACAAGCACCAAACTTCATGTTCCATGTTAGTTTAGCATCATTTCTCGAACTTGGTACAAATAACTTTGATTTTGTCAGATCAACTGACATCTGGTTAATTTCACCACGTGGAGCCAAATCAGATTTGAAAAACATGCTGAGACAGAGACTCGAAGAGACTGGCCTTGTGTAATGCAGAATGTAATCTATGTCCATCATCAATAATAACAGCTGTGTTGTTCAGTCTAATGACCACAAGATTGTGCTATAAAGCTGAAGAAATGTGGATCTTCACTGATCAGTGACAGATATTCCTCACTAAGTGATCTGTAAAAGACCATGAAGAGATTATGACCATGATAAGTTGTTACAGATCATTAAAGAGAGAGAAAAATAATTATTATACATTAACTGTCTTTAATGTATGACATGAAGTTGAAGTGAACTTGAATCTTTTATGACAGACGTGTTCCAGAGATCAAAAACACTCCACACTCAAGTTCTAAAGTTACTGATCGCTCCTTTATTAACAAACAAGTTCTCTGTAACATGTAGTTATTGTTCTCCATACATAAAGATCATGATCATAAGTTAATACTGACTTACATGTTGTATACACACCACCATTTAAAGTACTATAAATCCTTTAAGCCATTGAATATGTAGATAGTTATGAGTATTTTCATGACAAAAACCTAAACAAACAGCACTAAAGTGCCTCACTTAGTTATAATAATAATCTTAATCATGAATAGTGCATATATTGAATACAAACATAAATACCCGTGTAAATATTTACTGAACAGAAACTGGGGTGTAAGAAACATGTAGAGACAGAAAAAGACACACTTTGTAACATGCAGAAAGACAATCTTTTCCAAAAACAGCAATAAACATAGTTTTGTTAGTTTACAGCCATCACAGGTTTACAAAGGTTACAACGTTATTCATTGTCATAGTACAACAGGGTTGCAGTTTGCGGTCCCATTTTCCAACATAAAAACAACATTATAAGTAGAGGGTGGAGGATTAATTACAACAGGAAGGGGCTGAGCACACAGCCCTGGGGGGCTCCGGATTGGAGGAGGTGCTGGTGTATGTTTGTGAGGAAGGCTAATAACCAGTTGCAGTAGCTGTTTAAAGTGGACACTGCAGATGTTTTAGGTACAGGGTCAATGGTGGCTGTCTTGAAACAGGTGGGAACACTCTCTGGTGACAGTGATATGTCAAAGATGTCAGTGATGATCAGTTAGCCGGTTGGAACGAGTTCTTAGTAAACAACTGTGGGTGTTACCAGGTCCAGCAGCTCTACTCATATTCAATCTCATCAGGGATTTTACTTATATAAAAATGTGCCTGCTAGGGTCCCAATGGCAGCGGCAGACATAAAAAATGGCCACCACTCTACGTTGATTTGAAAGTCTGTTCCTTTCCTTTTCTGTTTCTATGATCCTGCCCATCCCTCTTTGTCCTCCCATTATATAAAATGTTTCCACTTTTTACAGCGTGTTATTCTTGTTTTAGGGTTAAAAGCGATAGTTTGGTACAGATGTAGTTTGTGTTTGTGACAAAGTGGGTGAGAACACACCATTTGTCCCCATATTACATTCATCTATAAATCTAACCATGCTTGTCAATTGTTTGCTTGCCATACCCACCATGTGTTCTAGAGGCTAAAGGGGGAGGCACCCAACCATTTCCTCTATTTATACACTGGATGATGTCATCTGGGATGTCATTGGGTCAGACCAAATATGGGGGGGAGTAGAATATGTACAGGTAGATTTGTAGGTTAGTTGTGATCTGTTTTACATTGTTGCGAGTGTATAGCAAATTGTAAACCATATACAATTGTTGGCTACCTAAAGGGGTGCTGTAAGGTAGAGCTTTTGTCTGTTAACTATTGGAGTCAGTAATTGGTGTCACCTGCACTCATGGTAGGAACTAGATCCTGCTGTTTTGTTTGTATATATGTTTGGTTACGCGTGTAGCAGGGCACTTTTGTAAATAAAACACCTTTTTGTTATCGGAACAAAGTCTCTCGTGTCTGCCTCCTACCACTTCAGAAGCCACTCCGGTCAGCCTTCACCACAGTGTTGAAAAACCAATTGGCGTGGAGAAAGGGATGGAGGACATGGAGTTAGACGTTTCCATAGAGGGTATGAGCCAGCCGACAAGCGCAGGTGTTGGGGTGTTATACGATGTCATGGGGGCCATGTTCCTGGGTTGAGGCATAGAGGTTGTGGGGTTATACCCCATGGGGGCCATGTTCATGGGTTGAGGCATAGAGGCTGTGGGGTTATACCCCATGCGGGCCATGTTCATGAGTTGAGGCATAGCGGCTGTGGGGTTATACGATGTCATGGGGGGCATGTTCCTGGGTTTAGGCATAGAGACTGTGGGGTTATACCCCATGGGGGCCATGTTCATGGGTTGAGACATAGTGGTTGTGGTGTTATATGCCATGGGGGGCATGCTGCTGAGGTCCTTTCCCTGGTCAATCAGAAGAGCCCTGGACAGTACCTGTAAGTTATCAATGAGCGTTTCGTCCACATTGGAGAACTGGTCGTCATGGTTGCCGGACTTCCTCAATCCCGAAAAAGAATTATTTCGGGAGAATTTCTCCATCAGCGTCTTGGCAGATTTCAGAGTGCTGCAGATTTCCTTCAGAGCGTTCTCCACAGTGGGAGAGATTACGCCATGCTCTCTCTGTTTAGCGGTATGAACCAGTCCCTCCAGTACTTTGACTCTCTGGGCGACTTGTTGGCAGTTATTTTTGTTGGCCTTCGCATTTGCAGCCATCTGGTAGATTGTTGAACATAGGCTCAAGGTCAAATCCACTTGGGACTGGTATAGATCCCTGTTATCCATGATTAGCTGTAGAGACAGAGAGGCAGTTAGCTTAGATTGAACCGGTGCAACATTGAAGTGAACCTAACCAGACTGACCTCAACCGAAAGGAACAAAACCGCAGATTGCGTGAATTAAACTGACCTGAGCTGAAGTAAATTAGTGAATTACAGATGAAGTAAGTCTGGTAAATTGGAGCTGATGTGTGTGACTCACTGCTCCTCCGGCTGGCTTTCTTTTTTTCACATTGCAGGTTGACTGCAGTTAGAGGTGGGTGGAGCTTTCTAACCTGATGTCTTGCACCTGGACAGGCTGGGTTATTTAGTCTCTTTTAGTCTCTCTCTTCTCTCTCACCCCCTACATCTAACTTTATTTTGGTTTGGTCTTCCTTTTATTTTTGCCCTCACAACGACAAATATGTTTGCACAAACAAATATTTTTCTCACTATTTGATCCAAGAAGAGAAACATCTAGAATTCTGTGTTTTTTTCTTCCCAAATAGCCAGATACAGCTAGCATGTTTCCCGACATCTTTCAGCCTGACATACCCAACATGGAAGCTGCGTTAGTGATTGTTCTGAACAATTAAATTAAACCTGAAATACCAGATTTTATTTTGGGCTAAGACACGCCCAGTCAACTCTATCATCTGCTCATTTTCGATAATCAGTGTTGCATTACACTCACAGCACAAGCCTTTTCTCTCTTTTAGGTGAATGAATCCATCAAAACATGACAAAATCTGGTTAATCTTTTTATACCATTGACTATTTTTTCTATAAAATGCATCATATTTTATAAACTGATATTAATCTGAATTACAACCACTAACCCGAGCTGTGAAATAAACTTTAGTGGAGTAAAAAAGGCAATATTTTGCACTGAAATGTAGTGAAGTTTAAAGTAGTATCAAGTAAAGTACAAGTACATGCTTGAATTGAAACTGTAATTTCCCAGAATTGATTCACTGTCACTTCAGGGAAATGACAGAGATCTTTTCTGAGAGTGTGGGTGGAGTTTCAAAGGAGCAAAGGTAAATATTAATAACCTGTCCTGTGCTTTTGTTATTTGACTTTACAAGATCTCCATGAAAGTTTACAGGAAAAAACTGTTTTCAACTTTAACCACATCTTTGTTAGCACTGTGTTTACACAAAACGGTATATTTTTGCAAAACAACCTCCAACATCTGGTTTTAACACCTGTCTACAACAGATTTCTTGTAGGTGTAATATAGGTCTACCTGTATGTGCATTGTTTCTGTATAACAGTCCATGACATGTATTATAGCTATACACAGAAAAGTACATACAGTGTCTCCAAATCTGGGCATTTTTAAATGTATTAGATGAAAAAGGATTAAAGGTGACCATGTGAACATCTTAACAGGTTTTGCATCCTGTAATCAATCCTCCTGTTCATAGTGGCCATTAAAAGATCCATTCAAATAAGTTAATATGAGGCTGCAGCAGTCTGAATTAGACAAATCATGTGGATATCTTCCAAAGTTAGTAATTTTAGTAATAAAACCTCTCTATGTTAATGTCACTTCATCGCAGCTCAATACAGAAACACAACGAGGGAATTCTGTACTGAAAAGATTGTAACTAAATGTTCATATGGCCACCTGACTATCATTGACAGATGTCAAAAGCAACAAACCACCCCGTCAATACTCATTTATGGTTCCAGAAAATATTCCTAATCCAACAGAAAAATAAACAATTTAAAAACCAACTGGATTATCCGATCAACTATTTTTTAAACAATACAATACATTAATTGTCACAAAGCTAAAACTGGTTGTTTTTTAAGCCCATAAATATTGACACTTTAGAGATCTTTACAGGAGAGCAATTACAATGTAAAAGCATGAAGAAGCAGAGTTTTTAAAAGATGATTTACCTGTTGACAAATGGCCCGTCTGAATCCAGGTGCGCAAGTTGGAGAAGATGAAAGTGTTTGTTGTTTAGCAGCAGTTTCTTTCCACGATGCTGTGCCAACGCAGTGCCACATACAAAACATTCTATCTACTTGCTAAACCTGCTCATCCCGTTCAAGGCTGTAAGAGTATGCGCCCGCTGGCACCACTCACATGTAGAAACTGCATTTTGGGGAATCTAATTATCAGCTTTCTGGAGGAGAATGAGCCGATCAGATCAATGCCACTCTTATGTCTGTACTTTAAAAACTGAAGGCAGTAAGCTTAGCTAATCATAAAGACTAGAAACAGAAGAAAACCAGTTGTGGAAGAACCCTCGGAGCATTTACCTATATAAAAGTACCAGTACAACAATGTAAAAAATACTTCATGACAAGTAAAAGTCTTGCATCTTGGATCTTTCATAAGATGAAATTGACAGGGGTTGTTGATTTATTTTCTTACATTTTATTATGTTTAACAAGTGCATCATATGTGCAATCTTATTCTGAAAACTAACTAACTATAGCTGTAAAATAATACGGTGCAGAATATAGTAAAGAGAAACAAATAAGGGGCTCCTACACAAGAGGTCTTCTTCTTAACCCTCCCTCTTTGTCCTTAAATATTACAGAGATACTTTTAGTGTCTGGAGGAAATGGTGGTGGAGAAAAGCATGGGGGACATGGTTCCAGGTAGAAACCTGGGAGACATGATGAAGGCAAAGGAGCTGTGTGGATAGGTAGTGGCCTGGGGGGCATGGTGCTGAAGGGAGGCTTAGGGGTTGTTGGGCTGGCCATTGGTATGATGCTTGGGAGATGGACAGGGGTGTGGAGCCATACATTAGCATCGGGGTTGGGGGCTAGACATTGACATGGTGCTGTGAGAGAAGCATAGTGGTTTTGAGTCTAGGACTTGACAAGATGCAGGGGAAAGGTGTAGGATTGTGGGGCTAGACATTGGCATGGTGCTCGTGAGATGTATAGGGATTGTTGTGCTAGACATTGGCACAATGCTGTGGAGATGGATAAGGGTTGTAGGGCTGGAAATTGGCATGATGCTTGGCGAGGCATAGGGGTTGTGGGGCTAGACTATGCATGTGCTCGAGAGAGACACATGCGGGGGTTGTGGGTCTATGCATTGGCATAGGGATTTTGGGGCTAGACGTTGACATGATTCTGGGAGAGGCATAGGGCGCTGTGGGGCTGGACATTGACATTGTACTGGGGAGAGGCATAAGGCTTTTGGGGTTGGACAATGGCATGTTGCTTGAACAAGGCGTAGGGGTTGTGGGGCTAGATATTGGCAAAGGGGTGTGGTGCCAGTAAGAAGTTGTCCACTGCAATACTCTCCACCTACTCACCTGAATGTCCAGGTGAATGCCATTCAGCTTGTAGAACTTGTCTTCATTGCTGAAGCTCATAACAGTTTTAATTTTGGAGTATTTAATCATCAGAACCTTGTGAGTGGCTGGAGTGCTGCAGAGTTTCCCCAGAGCGTTCTCCACTACAGCAGAGATTCAGACCTGCCGTCTTTGTTTGATGGTGAGGTGAGAACCAGTTCTTCTCGGGCTTTCATTCTGTAAGGCAACTGGTTTACAGGGCTGAACACAATCTCAGTCTTCTTGTAGGTTGTTAGACAAAGGGTCAAGGCCTAATCCACAAGGGACAGGTATGGATCTACTATCCATGATGAGCTGTAGAGATAGAGAGTCGGTTAGCTTGGATTGAAATACACTGGTGCATCAGTAAAGTCAACTTATCCACACTGAAGTCAACCCAGCTGAACTCAACTGAAACTAACAAAGCTGCCTCTAAATCACTGCTCCTTCTGCTGTCTTGTGTTTTTTTCCTTGCAGGTAGAAATGGGAGGAGCTTTCAGTCCTGATGTCTTTCACCTGAGCAGGATGAGCTGTTAAGCCCGACTCATTCTGACCCAATTCCAATCCAGTCTCTACACCCTCCCACTGGAGTGAACTCTGACTAACAGCTGAATAAAGCACCCTTCTTAAAGGTCTAGGGTATAAATACAGCAGCAAGACAAACTTCCCTCTCTCTATCAAGGAAACTTTAAATAACAGAAAGAAATCTCCAGTCCTCCAACTCTCTCTTCAAAACTGGCCTCCATTGTTGTGCACAGCAAACACCAAACCTGAAGTTCAGTAATAGACACTCATTTAGCGTAGAATATATACAAAACACTCCATGTCAAGTTTCAGACCCTAATAACCACCAATTAATTCCAATATATTTTATTGAGAATAATCCCCTCAGGATTTAGTGGACAGCAGTGGTTCTGGATGTTTGGGTGCTCCAGACACACTGTTAGGAGAAAACGGATGGTACACACAGGGTTAAATAACATGTGGGAGTGGAAATCCGGCCCATGCAGGACACAGTTGTACAATAAGTGCAATCAATAAAACTGAATGACCCACATCTTAAAAATCGGATGAAAAGAGTGCGTGTGCATATTTACAGACTTTTAGTCCTGAGTTTTGTGCATGTGGCCTCAAGAGCTGACCAGACAGTGGATCACTTTCAGAGCAGTTTAACTTCACATTAACTTGTGATTTATGTGAACACAAGTACCAAACGTCATGTTCCATGTTGGTTTAGCTTCTCACAGTTCTTGAACTTGGTACAAACAAGTTTGATTTTTCTCAGATGAACAGATATCTGGTTAATTTTGCCCGGCTCAGAGACTAATGAAAATAGGGAGAAAAACGAGCTGATCATTTCACTATCAGTAGTGAAATGCGTGTATGGATGTGTGGCAGTGTGTTGTTTATGTTGAACTCAAACATAAACAACAGGAACTGTGTCATGTCGGTGACAAAAAGGACCTTCCCCCAGAGAGACCAAGCCAGCTGAATGAAGGAGTATTTAAGGGCAGACACACCGGTACAGGTGTGGATCATACAGCTGATGACTCTCCATTCAGTGCCGGCAACAGACAACCATACGCACAGCAACAGGGACACCTACTGTATGGGAGGTGGAGTGTCACCACAATAATAACAGCTGTGTTGTTCAGTCTAATGACCACACGATTGTGCTATAAATCTGAAGAAATGTGGATCTTTACTGATCAGTGACAGATATTCCTCACTAAGTGATCTGTAAAAGACCATGAAGAGATTATGACCGCGATTAGTTGTTACAGACCATTAAAGAGAGAGAAAAATAATTATTATACATTAAGTGTCTTTAATGTATGACATGAAGTTGGGAGTGAAATTGAATGTTTGATGAAAAATGTGTTCCAGAGGTAAAAAAAAAAAACACTCCACACTCAAATTTAAAGGTTCCTGATTGTTCCTTTATTAACAAACAAGTTCTCTGTAACAAGTTCAACAAGAAGTTATTGTTCACCATACATACAGTTCATGATCATCAGTTAATACTGATTTACATGTATACACATCACCACTTAAAGTACTATAAATCCTTTATGCCATTGAATATGTGAAAAATGTGTATATGTAGACAGTTGCTAGTTTGTCTTAATAAAGTTCCTCACTTAGAAATAGTAAAATAATAATAACGAATAGTGTATATATTGAATACAAACAGAATAAGTGCCCATATAAACTTTTACTGACACTGCAGGTGTAAGAAACATGAATATAGTGAAAAAGAAACGGTTTTGTTAGTTAATAGCCATCACAGGGTTACAAAGGATTCAAGGGTATTCATGTTCATAGTACAGCAGGTTTTTGGTATAGAATGCAGTTTGCCGTCCCATTTTCCAACATAAATGAAAACACACACACACAAAAATATATATTATATAAGTTGAGGGTGGAGGATTAATTACAACAGGAAGGGGCTGAGTACGCAGCCCTGGGGGGCTCCGGTTTTCAATAGTGGAGGAGGTGCTGGGGTATGTCTGATAAACTTTGCAGAGTGAGGTACTCAAGAGCAGAGTGCTAAATTTAGGTTCATGGGGGAAATTGTGATGACAGCTGAGTTGAAATCAACAAAAAATATTCTAATATAGGGGTTGATATTTTCCAGATGAGCGATAGCTGAGTGGAGGGCAGTGGAGACGTCATCCTCTCTGGATCTGTTGGCTCTGTATCCAAACTGGTCAGGGTCCAGGCTGGCTGGGATGTTCTTGTTGATGTGCTGGAGAACCAGTTTCTCAAAGCACTTCATCAGACTAGGGTTAGTGCCACAGGACGGTAGTTGTTTCGACTAGACACTTCAGATTTTGCGAAGGTGGCTGTCTTGAAGCAGGTCATCTAACTAGCCAGTCATCCGGAGATGGATGAATGGCTAGTTAGCTAGGTCGCTGGTCCTTTTCTGGAGCAGCGGGGAGTGAGGCGGAGGGTCTGTTAACTCAGATCTGCTGCTGGCCACCAGCCCGCTGTTTTGCTATGAAGCATGGTGGAATTAGCAAGGTAGTCTGATAGTTAGCTATCAAGCTCGCTAAATCCACTATGCTTTAATGCTTCTCTGGTTAGAGACAATCGATTAGTTGCTATCGACAACTGGCGATAGCAAGTGCTTTCTTATGCTGTGACAAGGGAATATCTGTTTGAATCCAATTATATGTCTATGATCCTGCCAATCCCTCTTTGTCCTTACATTACAACGTGTTTTAGGGTAAGAAGCCATAGTTTGGTACAACAGCTGTAGTTTGTGTTGAAGGATCCGTTGGTACCATCATGTCCATGACAGAACTGGGGAATGAAGGGGGGGGATGGAGGACATAGAGTTAGACATTGCCATGGAGGGCATGAAACAGCTAACAGGTGCAGGAGATGTGGAGTGACACATTGGTGCTGGGTTAAGGTATGGTGTCTGTGGGGTTATGCGCTGTCATGGGGGGCGTGGTGCTGGGTTGAGGCTTGATGTCTGTGGGGTTAGGAGTTGTCATGGGGGGCGTGGTGCTGGGTTGAGGCATAAGAGCTGTGGGGTTATTTGTTGTAATGGAGGGCATAGTGCTGGGTTGAGGTTCTGTGAGGCTAGTATGAGGCTGTGTCTTTCCTTCAACAGTATCATACATTTGGTGCAGCGTGTTTCCCTGGTCAATCAGAAGAGCCTCTGACAGTACCTGGAAGTTATCAGTAAGCATTTTGTCCACATTGGAGAACTCATCGTCGTGGCTGCTGGACTCCATCAAGCCCGGAGAAAATGTCTCCATCATGCCCATGTCAGGATTGGGGACTGTAGGGGTAGGGAAACGGATGGAGGACATGGGGGACATTGAGTTAGACATTGCAATGGAGGGCATGAACCAGCCGACAGGCGCAGGAGATGTGGGGTGACACTTTGTCATGGTGGGCATGGGGCTCTGTAAAAGAAAAGGGGTTTGAGGTCTATATATTGTCATGGAGGGCATGGTGCTGGGATGAGGCACAGGGGTTTTGTGGATATCCGTTGTCAGTTGGGGCGTGGTGCTGGGTTGAGGCATAGAGGATGTGGGGCTATGCATTGTCATGGGAGGCATGGTGCTGGGTTGATGCTTATGGTCTGTGGGGTAATGCGATGTCATGGGGGACGTCGTGCTGGGTTGAGGCATATCGTCTGTGGGTTTATGAGTTGTCATGGCGGGCCTGTTGCTGGGTTGAGGCACAGTGGCTATGGGGTTATACGTTGTCACGTGGGACATGGTGCTGGGTTGAGGCATAAGAGCTGTGGGGTTATTTGTTGTCATGGAGGGCATAGTGCTGGGTTGAGGTTCTGTGAGGCTAGTATGAGGCTGTGTCTTTCCTTCAACAGTATCATACATTTGGTGCTGCGTGTTTCCCTGGTCATTTAGAAGAGCCTCCGACAGTACGTGGAAGTTATCAGTAAGCATTTTGTCCACATTGGAGAACTCGTCGTCGTGACTGCTGGACTTCATCAAGCCCGGAGAAAATTTCTCCATCATGCCCATGTCGGAATTGGGGACTGTAGCGGTAGGGAAACAGATGGAAGACATGGGGGACATTGAGTTAGACATTGCAATGGAGGGCATGAACCAGCCGACAGGCGCAGGAGATGTGGGGTGACACTTTGTCATGGTGGGCATGGGGCTCTGTAAAAGAATAGGGGTTTGGGGTCTATACATTGTCATGGCGGGCATGGTGCTGGGTTGGGGCACAGGGGTTGTGTGGATATCCGTTGTTATTTGGGGTGTGGTGCTGGGTTGAGGGGCTATGGGGCTAGTATGAGGCTCCGTCCTTCCCCCAACTGTGTCATACACTTGGTCAGGGGCGTTTTTCTGCTCCATCAGAAGAGCCTCAGACAGTACCTGTAAGTTATCAGTGAGCATTTTGTCCACATTGTAGAACTCGTTTTCGTCAGAATCAGGGGATGTGGGGGTGGAGAAAGGGATGTAGGACATGGGGGACATAGAGTTAGACATTGCCATGGAGGGCATGAACCAGCCAGCAGGCGCAGGAGATGTGGGGTGACACATTGGCATGGGGCTTTGGAAAGGAATAGGGGCTGTGGGTCTATAGATTGCCATGGGCGGTATGGTGCTGGGTTGAGGCATAAAACCTATGGGGCAAAACATTGTCATGGAGGGCATGGTGCTGGGTTGGGGCATATGGCTTGTGGGGATATAGGATGTCATGAGTGGCATAGTGCTGGCTTGAGGCTTAGGGTGTGTGGGGTAATACGTCGACATGGGGGTTGGGGTACTGGGTTGAGGCATTGTGGCTGTGGGGTAATGCATTGTCATGGGAGACATTGTAATGGTTTGAGGCACTGTGGCTGTGGAGTAATGCATTGTCATGGGGGGCATTGTGCTTGGTTGAGGCATTGCGGCTGTAGAGTAATGCATTGTCATTGTGGGCATGGTGCTTGGTTGAGACAAATCTGTGGGGCTATGCAGTGTCTTGGGGGGCATGGTGCTGGGTTGAGGCTCAGCATCTGTGGGGTTTTGTGTTTTCTTTGGGGGCATGGTGCTGGATGGGGTCTCAGCATCTGTGGGGTTTCGCGTTGTCTTGGGGGGCATTGTGCTGGGTTTAGGCTCAGCATCTGTGCGATTTTGCATTATCTTGGGGGGCATGGTGCTGGGTTGAGGCGCTGTGGGGCTAGTATGAGGCTGTGTCTTTCCTCCAACAGTTTCATACCCTTGGTATGTCGCGTTTCCCTGGTCAATCAGAAGAGCCCCCGACAGTACCTGGAAGTTGTTAGTGAGCATTTCGTTCACATTGGAAAACTCATCTTCGTGGCTGCTGGACTCCATCAAGCCCGTAGAAAATTTCTCCATCAGCGTCTTGGCAGATTTCAGAGTGCTGCAGATTTCCTTCAGAACTTTCGCCACAGTGTCAGAGATTACTTCATGCTCTCTTTGTTTGACGGTATGAACCAGTTCCTCCAGTAGTTTGACTCTCTGGACGACTTGTTGGCAATATGTGTTGTTGGCAGTCGCATTCTCAGCCAATTGGTAGATTGTTGAACATAGGTTCAAGGTGAAATCCACTGGGGACAGGCTTAGATCCATGCTAGACATGATTAGCTGTAGAGACAGAGAGACAGTTAGCTTGGATTGAAATGCATTGGTACCACAGTGAAGAGATTTTAACCATTTGAACACAGCTGAAAGAAACAAAACCGCAAATTGCACCAATTTAACTGACTTGAGCTAAAGTCAATGAGTGAATTAAAATGAAGTAATTCTGGTGAACAGGCGCTGAAGTGTGTGACTCACTCCTCCTCCTGCTGACTTGTGGTTTTTTTTTTCTTTGCAGGTTGACTGCAGGTAGAGATGGGTGGAGCTTTCTTTCCTGATGTCATACACCTGGGCAGGCTGACTCATTTTGTCTTACTCTTCTCTCTCACCACCATCATCTACCTTTTTTAGTTTGGTTTTCCTTTTATCTTTACCCTCACAATGACAAATACATTTGTTCAAATAAATAATTGTATTACTAACTGAGAGAAACTATAAATTATAAAGTTGCAATTAGATTAAACGCAAAGTAATTTAGTTTTTTCTGCCTTGTCTTTTTTCTGCTAATTGAACCACAGTATTTCTTGTACTGCATCTTTTTTTACCCTACCCTACAAGGAAGCTTAGGTAGTGATTGTTCTGAGTAATTAACATAAACCTGTAATACCAGTTTTTTTCAACCGTAGCCCAAATGTTTTGAACGCAGGCAGAGGAGTGTTTGTGTTTGTGTGATATAATGAATGGAGGCAAATCGTTTTTCTATAAAATGCATCATATTTTATAAACCAATCTTAAGCTGAATTACTGTATATACAGAAACCATAGCTGTGAAACAAAATGTAGCACTTAAATGTAGTGAAGCATAAAGTAGCATAATATGTGATCAAGTAAAGTACAAGTACATACTTTTTTTTCTTGGACCGATCTCTGTAATTTCCCAGAATTGATTCACTGTCACTTCAGGGAAATGACAGAGATCTTTTCTGAGAGAGTGGGTGGAGTTTCAAGTTCGAGTGAGCGAAGGCAAATATTAATTACCTCCCCTGTACTTTTGTTCATTGACTTTACAAGATCTCCATGAAAAGTTGAAAGGAAAAATCAGTTTTCACCTTTAGCCACATCTTTGTCAGCACCGTGTTAACACAAAATGCTGTATGTTTTACCAAACTCCAATATCTGCTTGTAACACCTGTATACAACAGATTTCTTGTAGGTGCACTATGAGTCTACTTGTATGTGCATCGGTTTCTGTAGAACAGCCCATGACATGTAAAACATATCCACGGAAAAAACATATACACTGTCTCCAAATCTGGGCATTTTAAGATATGTTAGATAAAAGAGGAAGGCTCACATTTTATCATGACAGGTATCCACATGAACATCGAAATCCATTAAAAGAGCCATTAAAATAAGTTTAAAACTTCTCTGTGTTAATGTCACTTCATCGCAGCTCAACACGGAAACACAACAAGGGAATTTTGCACTAAAAAGATTGTAACTTTGTGAGGAAAAATCTTCAGATTAACTTTGGAATGTATTTCTGCACAGAAGGACTGTGGATTTTGTCCCCCAATGCTTATATTATAAAGCAATCTTTAGATGTCCACCGGAGAAATAACTAAAGCAAGCAAAGCCAGTTTAAATGTTCAAATGGCCACCTAAATAGTGTTGATGGATGACAAAAGAAAACATATCCTTTAAATGCTTCTTTCAGAAAAGTCTCCTATATTTAAAAAAAATTAAAAACAACTAGATGATCTTATAAATTAATAAAAAATAAAATAAATTACAGAAAAGTAAATAAATTTAAATTTAAAGATAAAAATGACACTTGAGATTGTTACAGGACAGCAGTGATAGTTAACAGCTCATGAAGTAGCAGAGTTTTAAGAGATTATTTACCTGTTAAAAATTCTACTACTCTGTCAGCAAAATAAACAATTAAAACCTACTGGATTACCTGTTCAATTATAATATATTATTTTCTATAGATATGACAGCAGTGATAATGTAAGAGATTATTTACCTGTTGTCGAACGGCTCGTCTGAATCCAAGTGCACATGTTGGTGAAAGTGAAAGTATTTGTGGTTTAGCACCAGTTCCTTCTCAGATGTTTTACTGAAACATTCTTGGCCTCTATGATGTTGTGCCAACGCAGTGCCACATACATACCATTCTTGTAACGTTCATGTTTGTTAAACCTGCTCATCCTGTTCAAAGCTGTGAGAGTATGAGTCCACTGGCACCCGATCACATGTGGAAACTGCATTTTGGGGAATCAATTTATTTGCTTTCTGGTGGAGAATGAGCTGAAAAGATCAATACCACTCTTATGTCTGTATGGAAAAAACTAAAGGCAGTTAGCTTAGCTTAGCATAAAGACTGGAGACAGAGGTGGTAGAACTATTCAGAGGATTTACTTAAATCAAAGTACCAGTACAACAATGTAAATATACTTTATGACAAGTAAATGTCTTGCATTTAAAATCTTACTTCAATAAAAGTGTAAAAGAATCTTAAAGAAAATGTACTTAAAGTTACTACTATAAAATTAACCTTGATTGGCACACTATGTATTACGATTATTAATGTTGATGTATTAATCTGGCATAAGGGTTGTGGGGCTCCACAATGTCATGGTGCTGGGGAGAGGCTTAGGGGTTGCGTGGGCAGACATTGGCATTGGACTCTGGAAAGTTATAAGGGATGTGGGGCTATCATGCCAATGTCTACCCTCACAACCTTTATGCATCATGCCTAGGGGTTGTGTGGGTAGACATTAGCATGATGCTGGAGAGAGGTAGAGGGATTGTGGGGCTCAAATTTGAAATGATGCTGGGGGAAGGCAAAGGGGTTGTGGGGCTGGACATCGGCGTACTGTTGGGGAGCAGCATTAGGATGTTGGGGCCAGACATTGGCATGATGCTGGGGAGATGCATTGGGACTTTGTGGGTCAAATTGGCATTTGACTCAGGAGAGGCATAAGGGTCATGGGGCTTGGCATTTACAACGGGGTATTGTGCCAGATCCTCTCTGGCTTTCCCTCTATGAGCGACTGGTTTGAAGGGTACCTTGCTGGCCATAACATTCTCAGCCCATGACCCTTTAAACAAAGGGTCAAGGTCAAATCCACTCGGTAAAGGTATAAATATACTTTATCCATGATTAGATGTAGAGATAGAAAGTCAGTTAGATTGGATTGAAATGGGCTGGTGCCTCAGTGAAGTTAACTTAACCAAGCTAAACTCAACTTAGCTGAACTGAAGCAAAACTAACAAAACTGCAAATATCACAAATTGAATTGTTCTGAATCTGACCTGAAGTGAGTTTTTCTTCCTTGCAGAATGCCTGCAGGTAGAGGTGGGTGGAGCCTTCTATCCTGATGGCTTGCACCTGGGCAGGCTGGTTTTTTTTGGCTGACTCATTCCAACCCAATTTCAATACATCCTCTACACCCTCCCAATCGGTGAGGGAATAACCTCCGTTTGTAGTCACACTAATAAAGCACCTTTCTTTAAAGTGTAGGGTACAAATGCAGTGGCAAGACAAACCTTTCTCTCTCCAGCAAGTAAACTATGAATAACAGACACAATTACAGTCCTTTAACTCTCTCTATCTTTGAACACAAGCACCAAACCTCATGTTGCATGTACCATCTCACATTTCTTGAACTTGGTACAAACAAGTGAGATTTTCTCAGATGAACTAACATCTGGTTAATTTCACCACGTGGAGCCAAATCAGATTCATAAAAAAATGTGAGACAGAGACTCGAAGAGACTGGTCTTGTGTAATGCAGAATTAAATCTATGTCAATCATCAATAAGAGCAGCTGTGTTGTTCAGTCTAATGACCACAAGATTGTGCTATAAATCTGAAGAAATGTGGATCTTTACTGATCAGTGACAGATATTCCTCACTAAGTGATCTGTAAAAGATCATGAAGAGATTATCACCGTGATTAGTTGTTGGATCATTAAAGAGAGATAAAAATAATTATTATATATTAACTGTCTTTTATGTATGATATGAAGTTGGGAGTGAACTTGAATCTTTTATGACAGACGTGTTCCAGAGGTCAAAAAACACTCTCCACACTCAAGTTCTGAAGTTACTGATCGCTCCTTTATTAACAAACAGGTTCTCTGTAACATGTTTTAACAATAAGTTATTGTTCTCCATCCATAAAGATCATGATCATCAGTTAATACTGACTTACATGTTGTATACCCACCACCATTTAAAGTAGTATAAATCCTTTAAGCCATTGAATATGAGAAAAAAACATGTATATGTAGATGGTTATTAGTTTTTTCATTACAAAAACAGTAATAAAATGTTTCACTTAGTTATAATAATAATCATAATAATGAATAGTGCATATATTGAATACAAACAGAATCAATGTAAACATTTACTGAACAGACACTTGTGTATAAGAAACATGTAGCGAGAAAAATAAACGCTTTGTAACATTCAGGTTATTGAATGCAGTAAGAAAATCTTCTCCAAAAGCAGCAATAAACTTAGTTTTGTTAATTAATAGCCATCACAGGGTTACAAGGTTATTCATGTTCATAGTACAACAGGGTTGTGAAACAGAATGCAGTTTGCAGTCCCATTTTGCTGTGTAAGAAAATCAGACAAAATGGAGGATGAATTAGAACAGGAGGGGGCTGAGCACACAGCCCTGTGGGGCTCCGGTAGTAGAAACGGCATCCTCTCTGGATCTATTGGCTCTGCATGCAAATAGGTGAGGGTCCAGGCTTGCTGCGATGTTGTTTTTGATGTGCTGGAGAACCAGTTTCTGAAAGCACTTGATTAGAATGGGCTTGAGTGCCACAGGGCGGTAGACTACTGCAGATGTTTTAGGTACAGTGACGATTGTGTCTGTATTGAAGCAGGTGGGAACACTCTCCTGTGAAAATGTCAGTGATGAGATCAGTTGTTATCAGGTCCAGCAGCTTTACTTCTATTCACTCTCTTCGGGGTTTTTCTACTGTAGATACTGAGAGCGGCCGGTCTTCTGGAGGCAAAGCAGACTTCACAGCTGACCCTTAAGCATTAAAGGTGTTCGGCTCCCTGGCCTCACACATGATGGGAGCGGTCCTTCTTTTGTAGCCTGTGATCGCCTGACACATATTATTTGTGTTATTGGTGCTGTGTTATTGGTCGCGTTTGCTGATATAAGATGTCTGTTGATGTACGTATATTCCTCAAGAATGATGGAGTTTTTCGAATTTAATGATCCTTCCAAATCAATGATAATTAATCTTGAGCGTTTGCTCTCCTGGCCATAGAAATAGAACGTGAGTAGAACGGACATTGAACTGTTTGCTGTGGTCATTTGACTAGTACAAAAGAAAATGGGGATTGTTGTTACTTGACATGGTGACAACACACGTCAGTGGCTCGAAAAGTGTTGTTGCTGAGAAGAGAGTGTACGCAGCTGAGAGGAATGGCTGATTAGTTAGCTGATTAGCTAGGTAGCTAGTCCTTCTCCGGAGCAGCGGGGATTGAGGCGGAGAGACCGTTAGACTAAGATCTACGACTGGCCACCAGTATGCTGTTTGGCTCATTTTTTCTACCAGTGTACCAATGAAGCATAGTGGAATTAACAAGCTGGTCTGCTAGTTAGCTATCAAGCTTGCTAATTCCACCATGCTTTAATGCTACACCGGTGAGATAAAATGAGCCGAACACAGTTGCCATTCAACTAGACAAAAGTGTGTGGATGAAGCCTTAATTTGTTTAATTTCACTCATTTACTCTGGCTCTCTATGCTTCGTAACCTTAATACTCTGCTGCTTGTTTGAGTGATTACTACAAAACCTCACCTCAGTGAGTCTGCGTCTTGACGTAAGTCGGTTAAGCTTATACAGAATTTAGCCTGCTTCAACGTTTGCAATGGCAGCGGCTGACATAAAAATGGCCACAGCTCTGATCATCTTGCTACGTTGTTTTGAATGGGAATCCTATTTTATTTCTATGATCGTGCCCATCCCTCCTTGTCTTCACACAACACAGAAAATGTATTCCCTTTTCTCTTGTTTTAGGTTAAAAAGCCATAGTTTGGTGCAGATGGAGGTTGTGTTGAAGGATCCATTGGGCCCATCATACCCATGGAAGAATTCGGGATTGTAGGGGTAAAGTAAGGAATGGAGGACATGGGGGACATGGAGTCAGACATTGCCGTGGGGGGCATGAAAATGCCGATAGGAGCGGGAGTTGTGGGGTTATACGTTGTCATAGTGGGCATGTTGTTAGGTTGAGGCATAGGGCTTGTGGGGTTATACATTGTCATGTGGGGCATGCTGTTGGGTTGAGGCATAGGGCTTGTGGGGTTATACGTTGGCATGGGGGGCATGCCGCTGGGTTGAGGCATAGGGCTTGTGGGGTTATACGTTGGCATGGGGGGCATGCCGCTGGGTTGAGGCATAGGGCTTGTGGAGTTATACATTGTCATGTGGGGCATGTCGCTGGGTTGAGGCATAGGGATTTTGGGGTTATACGTTGTCATGTGGGGCATGCCGCTGGGTTGAGGCATTGGGCTTGTGGGGTTATACGTTGTCATGGCGGGCATGCTGCTGGGTTGAGGCATAGGGCTTGTGGAGTTATACATTGTCATTGGGGGCATGCCGCTGGGTTGAGGCATAGGGCTTGTGGGGTTATACGTT